GTAGACCGACTCTGACCCCGTAGACTGACACTGACCCCGTAGACTGACACTGATCCCGTAGACCGACTCTGACCCCGTAGACCGACTCTGACCCCGTAGACCGACACTGACCCCGTAGACTGACACTGACCCCGTAGACCGACTCTGACCCGGTAGACTGACCCGGTAGACTGACTCTGACCCCGTAGACCGACACTGACCCGGTAGACTGACCCCGTAGACCGACACTGACCCCGTAGACCGACACTGACCCCGTAGACTGACACTGACCCCGTAGACCGACTCTGACCCGGTAGACTGACCCGGTAGACTGACTCTGACCCCGTAGACCGACTCTGACCCGGTAGACTGACCCCGTAGACCGACACTGACCCCGTAGACCGACACTGACCCCGTAGACTGACTCTGACCCCGTAGACCGACACTGACCCGGTAGACTGACCCGGTAGACTGACTCTGACCCCGTAGACCGACTCTGACCCGGTAGACTGACCCCGTAGACCGACACTGACCCCGTAGACTGACACTGACCCCGTAGACTGACTCTGACCCCGTAGACCGACTCTGACCCGGTAGACTGACCCCGTAGACCGACACTGACCCCGTAGACTGACACTGACCCCGTAGACTGACTCTGACCCCGTAGACTGACTCTGACCCCGTAGACTGACTCTGACCCCGTAGACTGACTCTGACCCCGTAGACTGACTCTGACCCCGTAGACTGACTCTGACCCCGTAGACTGACTCTGACCCCGTAGACCGACACTGACCCCGTAGACTGACTCTGACCCCGTAGACTGACTCTGACCCCGTAGACTGACTCTGATCCCGTAGACCGACTCTGACCCCGTAGACTGACACTGACCCCGTAGACTGACACTGATCCCGTAGACCGACTCTGACCCCGTAGACCGACACTGACCCCGTAGACTGACACTGACCCCGTAGACCGACTCTGACCCCGTAGACCGACTCTGACCCCGTAGACTGACACTGACCCCGTAGACTGACTCTGACCCCGTAGACTGACCCCGTAGACCGACACTGACCCCGTAGACTGACTCTGACCCCGTAGACTGACCCCGTAGACTGACACTGACCCCGTAGACCGACTCTGACCCCGTAGACTGACTCTGACCCCGTAGACTGACACTGACCCCGTAGACCGACACTGACCCCGTAGACTGACTCTGACCCCGTAGACTGACCCCGTAGACTGACACTGACCCCGTAGACCGACTCTGACCCCGTAGACTGACACTGACCCCGTAGACTGACACTGACCCCGTAGACTGACACTGACCCCGTAGACCGACTCTGACCCCGTAGACTGACACTGACCCCGTAGACTGACTCTGACCCCGTAGACTGACACTGACCCCGTAGACTGACACTGACCCCGTAGACTGACACTGACCCCGTAGACTGACACTGACCCCGTAGACTGACTCTGACCCCGTAGACTGACCCCGTAGACTGACTCTGACCCCGTAGACTGACCCCGTAGACTGACACTGACCCCGTAGACTGACACTGACCCCGTAGACTGACACTGAGACTGACACTGACCCCGTAGACTGACCCCGTAGACTGACACTGACCCCGTAGACTGACACTGACCCCGTAGACTGACCCCGTAGACCGACACTGACCCCGTAGACTGACTCTGACCCCGTAGACTGACACTGACCCCGTAGACCGACTCTGACCCCATAGACTGACCCCGTAGACCGACACTGACCCCGTAGACTGACTCTGACCCCGTAGACTGACACTGACCCCGTAGACTGACTCTGACCCCGTAGACTGACACTGACCCCGTAGACTGACCCCGTAGACTGACACTGACCCCGTAGACTGACACTGACCCCGTAGACTGACACTGACCCCGTAGACTGACCCCGTAGACCGACACTGACCCCGTAGACTGACTCTGACCCCGTAGACTGACACTGACCCCGTAGACTGACACTGACCCCGTAGACTGACTCTGACCCCGTAGACTGACACTGACCCCGTAGACTGACCCCGTAGACTGACACTGACCCCGTAGACTGACACTGACCCCGTAGACTGACTCTGACCCCGTAGACTGACCCCGTAGACCGACACTGACCCCGTAGACTGACTCTGACCCCGTAGACCGACTCTGACCCCGTAGACTGACACTGACCCCATAGACTAACACTGGACCCTAAGGCTAACAGCCTTAACAGGCTGTAGGGGCAAGTGCTGTTAGCGAGCACCTATGAAGGCTACCGGCGCTGTGGCACACGAGGGGGTGGGTGGCCAGTACCACGCCCGGCCGCCTTTGTCTCCCCAGTGTTGATGTTTGGCATACACCGCACCGGGGTTACTCATTTGAGGCTGAATCAACCTAGGTGGAGTCCCGGGACCGGTTTAGATAATCGTCTCTGATGTTGTAGTTCGTTGCGAGTGGGGAAAACGTGGTGTGTGTGTGTGGAATTCTTTCGCACCATACGTGCCAACAAGCTAACACACAACAAGTCGTTGTAAATAAATTAGTTCTCAATTGAGTATAGTGCCCTAGTGTATAGTAGTGTAGTGTAAAGTCTAGGGGATAGTAGTGTATAGTGTAGTGTATTTTTCGTGTATATTTTAGTGTGTTTAGCGTAGTGTATAGTCGTGTAATGTGTGGTGTTATGTATAGTAGTGTATAGTGTAGTGTATAGCGTAGTGTATAGTAGTGCAATGTGTGGTGTTATGTATAGTAGTGTATAGTGTAATGTATAGTCGTGTGCTTAGTGTAGTGTATAGTGTAACGTATAGTCGTGTATTTAGTGTAGTGTATAGTGTAGTGTATAGTGTAGTGTATAGTGTAGTGCAATGTTTAAGTGAAATGTATAGTAGTGTAGTGTATAGTGTAGTGTATAGTGTAGTGTATAGTGTAGTGTATAGTGTAGTATGTGTGTAGTGTAGTGTATAGTGTAGTGTATAGTGTAGTGTATAGTGTAGTGTATAGTGTAGTATGTGTGTAGTGTAGTGTATAGTGTAGTGTATAGTGTAGTGTATAGTGTAGTGTATAGTAGTGTATAGTAGTGTATAGTGTAGTGTATAGTGTAGTGTATAGTGTAGTGTTTAGTAGTGTATAGTGTAGTGTATAGTGTAGTGTGTAGTGTAGTGTGTAGTGTAGTGTATAGTGTAGTGTGTAGTGTAGTGTGTAGTGTAGTGTATAGTGTAGTGTGTAGTGTAGTGTGTAGTGTATAGTGTAGTGTATAGTGTAGTGTATAGTGTAGTGTATAGTGTAGTGTGTAGTGTAGTGTATAGTGTAGTGTATAGTGTAGTGTATAGTGTAGTGTATAGTGTAGTGTATAGTGTAGTATGTGTGTACGTTGAGCTTCTTTCGCACGGTACGAAGCCAACCGCGCTCATCGTCGGCGTGGCGAGGGTGGTGGTGGTGGACAACAAACTAACAACACACAACAACATCAACAACAATCTGGATGACGCTTTCCAAGTGCGGCATCGCCTCCTGGCAGGTGGCGGCTTCCTGACATCGCAAGGGGAAGAGCGTTCCAGACGGCCGTTGAAGCAGCAGCAGCAGCAGTCGGAAAGCGCCGCACGGTGACCCCATCTTTCGCCCGACAGTCAGCCAGGAAAGCCACCGCCACCGCCACCGCCACCGCCACCGCCACCGCCGCCGCCACCGCCACCGCTGCGAGGATGATGAGCGGAGTTGCCGTAGCGACGGTGGGTTTCGCTACGCATGGTGACCCCATCTTTCGCTCGACGGTCAGCCAGGAAAGCCACCGCCACCGCCACCGCCACCGCCACCGCCACCGCCACCGCCGCCGCCACCGCCACCGCTGCGAGGATGATGAGCGGAGTTGCCGTAGCGACGGTGGGTTTCGCTACGCACGGTGACCCCATCTTTCGCTCGACGGTCAGCCAGGAAAGTGACCGCCGCCGCCACCGCCACCGCCGCCGCGAGGATGATGAGCGGAGTTGTCGTGGCGACGGTGGGTTTCGCTACGTCCCCATGACGACGAGAGGAGCGGCGGGCGAGGTACCTCGCGGTTACCATTCGTTGCCGAGCAACCAAGTGGGGGGGTGTCGCTGGCTGGTTTGGTTTGCTTGGCATGGTGGCGCTGCCCCACCGCTCCCCGCTCCACCCCACGCGGGCATATGCTGTTAGCAAGCACCTATTGAACGCCTGAATGGTTTGCATAGACCACAATACCTGCAGTCATAATGCAAACAAAAACACAACTCTGATAATGTAGGCACTGTCCTTGAAGTTGATTGGTCCACACCCGAGACAGCTTTCCTTAGAGCCTAGTCTCACATGGTGTTGGACCAGATGACGCCAAAAGGCGCACAACTCAAAGACAATGCACCATCAGAGTATGAGAGCTCGGGGTGAAGCATTTACACCATTGGAACCTCATTTGCCAGAAGACAAAATATGATAATTGTTTTTTTACCCTCTTTTCTGGCAACAAAACTGACACCTTTTTTACGAGGAGTCATGTTTGCATAGACCACAATACCTGCAGTCGTAATGCAAACCAAAAACACAACTCTGATAATGTATGCACTGTTAAAAAAGGTGTCAGTTTTGTTGCCAAATAAAAAATGGTAAAAAAAACAATTATCATATTTTTTCTTCTGGCAAATGAGGTTTCAATGGCCTAAACGGCCGGCACGGCACACGAGGGGGTGGGTGACCAGCACCACGCCCGACCGCCTTTGTCTCCCCAGTGGCGATGTTTACACACCAGGTACTCATTTGAGGCCGAGTCGACCTAGCGGAGGCCCAGCACCGGATCAATGAATCGTGACCGGTGTTGGTGGCCGTGAGCGGGAATCGAACTCGGGTCGCCGGGTTCGTAGCGCGGCGTAGCGCTACCCGCTACACTACCGCTCCCCCTCTCACACACTCACACACACCACACACCCGGTGAGACACGTGACACACACGGTGAGACACGTGACACACACGCGACACACACGGTGACGACACAGCAGAGGCGAGAGTCTGAGAGAGCAGCCCACGGTGGTACAGCAACCACGTGGTACAGTATTAAAAACCGGCAAGATGCCCACGTGGGCGGCATACAAACACACACGCACGCACGCGCGCGCGCGTGCACCGAGGAGTGCGCGTGGGGGTGAGTGGGGGTGAGTGGGGGTGAGTGGGGGTGAGTGCGGGTGAGTGCGGGTGAGTGGGTGAGGGATGGGGGGGACACGGAGGGCGTGTGCGCTATACGGGAGCATTGGTGGCGCCCAGCTGGAACACTGGGCTAGCGTGGGCAACACTGGGGGGGGGGGGGGCAGGGAGGGGTAAGTTAGGGGGGGGGGTGGACACAGATAGGGGAGCATGGGGAGGAGGGGTTAGAGGTCGCGGGGGGAGGGGTGCGATGGGGGGTGACGGGGGCGGCAAACGATGTCGCCGGTACCACGATGGCCGGCGCTCGCCGCTTCTTACCGACTGTCCTCGCTGAGCCACGTGACCAGGACCCCCACCCCCTCCCCCCCCCGGGGGGGGGGGAGGTGACCCCCCCCCCCCCACTGTGTAAACCCCCCCCCCTCACCGCCCAAAGTGAGAGTGGCCCCCATCACCGTGTCTAAAAACGAACAAACGTACAGCATCTTCGACGATAACAAAACCCTTAGCATCTATTGCTTGCTTGATAAAGGCCGCTGTGTGTCTACCAAGTCCTCGTGATGAAGGTGCGGGGGGGGGGTGGTCAGGGAGGGGGGGAGTCCATCATCCCCCTCCCGCCCCCCTCGCCCCCCCCGCTTGTGCCGAGGCCCCCTCCGATCTGCCGTTTGACCGGCGCCGCCGCCGCGGTCAGTCTCTCCCGGCGGGGCGGTCGGCCGTGCCGGAACCGGCAGCATCTCGGAGCCACGCGGAGTCTCTTCGTCCTCCTCGTCGTCGTCCTCGTCGTCATCCTCCTGACTCTCCCACCGCCGTCGCTACCTCGTCACGATGAGCGCGATGTCGTCGGCGCTGGCGAGGAGGGCGCCGGCGGCGCTGGCGGCCGCGCCGGGCCCCAGCGCCGACGCCGAGCCCGGCGAGACGCGCAGCTCGCGCAGCGCCAGCTCCAGCTTGTCCACGGCCTCGCGCAGAGCGAATTTGGTGCGCATCTGCTTGATGGCGCTCACGTACGCCTGGCACGACGCCAGCAGCTGCTGCCCGGCCTCCAGCACCGCCACGTGGGACACGACGGCCGCCGGCGCCGCCACTGCCGGCGCCGCCGAAGGGAGGGCGGAGGAGGCGGAGGAGCCGCCGGCGCCGCCGTTGACGGCGACCCGCAGGGCCTCGGCCCGCTCCAGCACCGTGTCGCGCGTCACGCTCTGCCCGCTGGGACGCGCCGGCCCCGCCGTCTTGCGCAGGGAGGAGCGCGCCGACGCGTGGGGGCCCAGCAGCTGGTGCTGCCGGTGCTGGTGGGCGCCGACGGCGACGCGCTCCGGCCCGGGGTTGGACGCCGTCCCCTTCGCCCCGCCCCTCGGCGGCGGCGCGGTGCCACCGCCGGCGGCCGCCCCCTCGCGGCCGCCATCCCCGTTGGCCGCCGGTCTGGCCCTGCCGCCGCCGGCGCTCTCCGAGGGCCGCCCGTCGGCCGGCGCCGTCGCGGCGCCCAGCCGCGCCGAGTGGAGTTGCGCGGCGCCGCCGACGAGGCCCCCGCCGGCCCCCCGCTCCTTCCCGCCGCCCGGCGACGCCAGAGTGGCTGGGCCCGGCGAGCCGTGCCGGCTCGCCAGCTCCGCCCGCCGCTGGCTCAGAGAGCTCGTGCCCAGGGAGGCGGCGGCACCGGCGACGGTGCTCGCGGCGGAGGCGGCGGAGGTCGTGGCGGCGGCGGCAGAAGCGGCGGTCTCCGTGCCGGCGGCCGGCGGCGGCGTTCCCGTGGCAGCGCCGGCCGGCGCCGTCCTCCCGGACGCCCTGCTGACGGCGGCCGCTCGCTCGCGCACGCTGGACGCCAGCGTGGCGGCACGTTGCGCCACCCTCTGCCGGGGCCGCGGCGTCACCACCCCGGGGCCGTCCGCGTCCCCCGCGCCCGCCGACCTCCGGAGCGTCCGAGCGACGCTCGCTGCCGGCGCCGCCGCGGAGCCCCTGGGCGGAGGGGTGGCCCGGCCATTGACGCAGCCGGTGACGGTGCCGCCGCCGCCGCAGTCGTCCCCGCGCCGCCGCGTCGGCAGGCACGGGGGGAGCGCCGAGCGCTTCCCGCCACCGGCGGAGACGGAGGTGGAGGGCGTCGCCCCGGCGCCGTCGCCGCCCCTGCGCTGGGCGTCCCCCGCCGAGCCGGCGGGCCGCTGGCCGGCGCCGCGTTGGGAGGTCACCCCCCCCTCCTCGTCGCTGCCGGCGGCGGCGGCGGCGACGACGGCGCCGGCAGCCGTCTTGTCCCCGGCGCGTTCCGGCTTGTCGGAGCGCCGCAGGAACCCGGCGAGCGCCGCCAGCCCGCCGTTGGCCAGCGCCGCGGCGCCGCCCGTCCCGTTCGCCGTCGCTCCCTGCTGCTGCTGCTGCTGCTGCTGGTGGTGGTGGGCGCCGCCGTTTGCACCGGCGGCGCTGCTGCCGCCGCCCGGAGAGTCGGGGACCCTCCGACGCCGCGGCTCGGCCTCGCGGAACGAGCTGCTACGCTTGGGAGGCAGCGGCGCCGTCACCGACGCCGCCGCCGCCACTGACGTCGTCGTCGTCGGCGAAGTTCCGGCGGCCGGCACGGCCGGAGGCGCCGGCGCAGCTGCTGGCGCGGCGGCCGCGGCGGTCGCCGTCGCCGCCGCAGACGCCGCCGCCTGCTGCTTCTTCTTCTTCCACATGAGCGAGCTGAAGAGGGAGCCCGGCTTGCGCTCACGGAAGAAGCCCTGCGGCTGGCGCTCGTCCAGATCGGCCTGCGGGTCTGGGCGCCGGCGGGGACACACGCGGCGGCGGCAGCGGCAACGTCATCAGCAGCACCTCGGCCACCACCACCACCACGGCCACCACCACCACCACGGCCACCACCACCACCACGGCCACCACCACCACGAGCACCGCTAACAACCAGTCCCACCACCGTTGTCATCATTACCACCATAGGAGGGAGGGAGGGAGGGGAGGGGGGAGGGAGGGAGGGAGGGCGGGGAGGGGGGATGGGGGAGGGGAGTGAGTGAGGTGAGTGAGGGTACCAGAGTCGTGGCTGTGTGCCGTGCGGGGCAGGGTGTTTGCGCTGCCGTGCTGCTGCTGCTGCTGCCCCCCAGGCGCCGTTGCGGCGCCGTCACCGCCTGCCGCCCCCCCCCACTCTCGCCCCTCCGCGCCGGGGGGCCCCCCCCCTTCGGGCCCCTCCTTGCTCTTGGGGGTCTTGGGGGGCAGCTCCGGCGCACGGACACCGACGCCGGCGCCCGGCGCCGCTGGTCCCCCGGCGGCGTTCGCCGTGACGACGACGCCGCCGGTGCCGCCGGTACCGCCGCCGGCTGAGAGCGAAGATGGCGCCACGGCCTTCTTCTCCAGCTCTCGCTCCACCTCTGTGGGGGGGGGGGGGGTGGGGGGTGAGGGGGTTCTCGGTGATTCACGCTAGAACGAGTGTGTGTGTATCTGTAGTGCCATAAGAGGGGAGGGGCTGCTGGGGGCTCTGGGACACTAGACAGATAAGCCCTCGGCGTCAGGCGCTGGGATCCCAGGCACCCCAGACAGCTAAGCCCCTTGGCGCCACCAACGGGGGGGGCTGTGTGTGCTCTGTGGGATATCTGGGGGCGCACACAACCCCACCCCTCGTTGGGGACGAGGCATAAAAGGGCAGCTCCCTGGCCAATCGGGGCCAGTCGCAGCTCAAGACCCATGACCCAAGACCAGCCAGCCAGCCGGCTTAGGACCCTGGACCCCCTCGTCCCGCTTGTCCTTGTAAGGGCCGGGACGCTGTGAGGGCCAGTGGTGGGACTCTGGGACTCCCAGCTCTACGTCCTTGTGAGGGCGAGTTCCGAGGAAGCCAGAGTCCAGACCCGCACCTTGGCTGGGTCGGGGTCAGATTAGCCTCCCCTAGGGTAGTTGTAGCCGGAGGACCCCAGAGCGTAGCCAGAGTAGTGTATCTAGGCTGTGTCGCTAGGCTGTGTACCTAGGCTGTGTACCTAGGCTGTAACAGAGTATCAGGACTGTTGGAGTGTTGTATTGTAATAAAGAAGTTACCTCTACAAGTGTCTCTAGAACCCATTACATATCTGCATGTGTGTGGCTGTGTGTGTGGCTGTGTGTGTGTGTGGGGAGCGGCGGTGAAGCGGTTAGCGCGCTGCGCTACGAACCCGGCGACCCGGGTTCGATTCCCGCTCACGGCCAACACCGGTGACGATTATCTGAATCAGTCCCGGGCCTCCCCTAGGTCGACTCAGCCTGAAATGAGTACCTGGTGCGGTGTGTAAACATCGCCACTGGGGAGACAAAGGCGGTCGGGCGTGGTTCTGGCCCCCACCCCTTCGTTCGTGTACCGTTCCCGGCCTTCATAGGTGCTCGCTAACAGCACTTGCCCCTACAGTCTGTTAAGGCTATATGGGGGATCTTTGTCTATGGCTGTTTGTGTGTGTGGCTGTGTGTGTGTGGTGCCGGTTGGTAACGCTGTGAGCATTGGCTCTTGTAGCCACCACTGCGGCCAATGGGGGGCTCTGGACGGGTGCGAGGGGCTGGTTAACCCCTCCACCTTCCATCCAAGTGTAATGGATATATCCGGCTCAATGACGTATCACAACTCGTCACGACGATTGGCTCTGCCGGTCCTGGTCCATAGCCAATGGAGGGAAGCCTAGGGGCGTGGCCATGACGTAATGGAATGGTGACAGCTGTAAGGATTGGTTCTGCTGGCTTTGGCCACAGCCAATGGGGAGACGAGTCAGGGGCGTGGTCCCGGGAGCATACGAGGGAGCCTGGAAGTTTCCATGGAGGCTAACCAGGATTGGGGGAAACGTACCACGTGACCCGGGTATTAAATAGGGGTGGAGACGAACGACACGTGGTCAGAACGGGAACGAACAGAGGAAGGGGGCCACGTGGGAGCGGGGCTCCGGGTTGCCACGTGGTCCAGGCTGCCACATGGCGGTGCGTCTCTCTCTCTAGCTGTCCCTCTCACGCTGCCTGTCAGCAGAGTGAAGGAAAGCTGTAACACAAGTTGAATAAAAGACAGATTCCAGAAGTCGCCTCAACGAGCTTTATTACCACTAAGCCACGTGTTAAAAATCTAACCAAGCTCATGCCGGAGGCCCCGGGGGGACAGGCGTCTATGACGTTTCGTGGCCAACCCCCATTTGGCGGAGCCAGGAGACTGAATCCTTACCCTCGGGGCTCCTCCAGAAACAACAAAAAGCCACTACGGATGGCCACGTGGAATGTTCGAACGCTCACTGCGGAGGAGAGGCTGCCACTCCTCTGTCTGGAGCTGGACCGGTACCGCCTGGATCTCTGTGGTACTCAGGAGGTCCGGTGGACCGGTTCTGGCTCCTGCCACCATGAGGGGTGGGCAGTCCTCTACTCGGGGCAGGAGACTGCCAAACAACAGGGTGTGGCTCTTCTTCTGAACAATAGAATGAAGGGGGCGTGGGAGTGTAGCGGTGGGGTGTGGGAAGCTGTAAGCCCTAGGCTACTTTGGGCTCACCTTCCCATCAACCAGAGGTGGTCGTGGTTTATTTTACCCCCAGCGAAGATGAGCATCAGTGGAGCGATGCAGGCAAGGTCGATGGGTCAGATAGCTTCTATGACCTCCCATCACAGGTGCAGGCTAAAGTGGCTCCTCGGGATAGAGTCATCCTGTTGGGTGACTTTAATGCCCGAGTTGGTCATGATACTGGCATCATGACCAGCTCAATAACAACGGTAGGAAGCTACTAGACTTTGTGCAGCCAATGGGCTTGTAATTACCAATACACAGTTCCTACTGTGTATGTGCGTGTGTACGTGTGTGTATGTGCGTGTGTGTACGTGTGTGTACTTGTGGGTATGTACGTGTGTGTATGTGCGTGTGTATGTGCGTGTGTGTACTTGTGTGTATGTGCGTGTGTACGTGTGTGTATGTGCGTGTGTATGTGCGTGTGTACGTGTGTGTACGTGTGTGTATGTGCGTTTATGCGTGTGTGTACGTGTGTGTATGTGCGTGTGTATGTGTGTGTATGTGCGTGTGTACGTGTGTGTATGTGCGTGTGTACGTGTGTGTATGTGCGTGTGTACGTGTGTGTATTGCGTGTGTACGTGTGTGTATGTGCGTGTGTACGTGTGTGTATGTGCGTGTGTATGTTGCGTGTACGTGTGTGTATGTGCGTTTATGCGTGTGTGTACTTGTGTGTATGTGCGTGTGTATGTGTGTGTATGTGCGTGTGTACGTGTGTGTATGTGCGTGTGTACGTGTGTGTATGTGCGTGTGTACGTGTGTGTATGTGCGTGTGTACGTGTGTGTACGTGTGTGTATGTGCGTGTGTACGTGTGTGTATGTGCGTGTATGTGTGTGTATGTGCGTGTGTACGTGTGTGTATGTGCGTCTGTACGTGTGTGTACGTGTGTGTATGTGCGTGTGTACGTGTGTGTATGTGCGTGTGTACGTGTGTGTATGTGCGTGTGTACGTGTGTGTATGTGCGTGTGTACGTGTGTGTACGTGTGTGTATGTGCGTGTGTACGTGTGTGTATGTGCGTGTATGTGTGTGTATGTGCGTGTGTACGTGTGTGTATGTGCGTGTGTACGTGTGTAGTGTGTACGTGTGTGTTATGTGCGTGTGTACGTGTGTGTATGTGCGTGTGTACGTGTGTACGTGTGTACGTGTGCGTGTGTACGTGTGTGTATGTGCGTGTGTACGTGTGTGTATGTGCGTGTGTACGTGTGTGTATGTGCGTGTGTACGTGTGTGTACGTGTGTGTATGTGCGTGTGTACGTGTGTGTATGTGCGTGTGTACGTGTGCGTGTGTACGTGTGTGTATGTGCGTGTGTACGTGTGTGTATGTGCGTGTATGTGGGGAGCGGTGGTGTAGCGGTTAGCGCGTTGTGCTATGAACCTGGCGACCCGGGTTCGATTCCCGCTCACGGCCAACACCAGTGACGATTATCTGAACCAGTCCTGGGCCTCCCCTAGGTCGACTCTGCCTGAAATGAGTACTCGGTGCTGTGTGTAAACATCGCCGCTAGGGAGACAAAGGCGGTCGGGCGTGGTGCTGGCCACCCACCCCCTCGTGTGTTGTGCCGGCCTTCATAGGTGCTCGCTAACAGCACTTGCCCCTACAGTCTGTTAAGGCTATACGGGGGATATTTGTCTTATTTGTATGTGCGTGTGTACGTGTGTGCATGTGCGTGTGTACATGTGTGTACGTGTGTGTATGTGCGTGTGTACGTGTGTGTATGTGCGTGTGTACGTGTGTGTATGTGCGTGTGTGTGTGTGTGTACGTGTGTGTGTATGTGTATGTGCGTGTGTACATGTGTACGTGTGTGTACGTGTGTGTGTGTGTGTATGTGCGGTCACCGTCGGAGATGCTGGAGTCATGGAACATGGTGTCGAAGGCGCGGTGAGTCTCGGCAAACGAAGGCCGGTCCAGCGGATTCCACTGCCAACCTGCACAGTCAACCACAGTCAACCACGCAGTCAACCACCCACACAGTCAACCACCCACAGAGTTAACCACCCAGTCAACCACCACCACCACTCCCCACTCGTAAGGCTCTGTCTGGCCTGACTGTGGCTCGAGAAACCAAAATCAGGATTCACACCGGGAGATAAATCTGATGAGCCACAAAGCTCCATATTCACGAATCTCCAGGAGGAGCCATGTACTCAACCCGTGCCGGCTCCGAGCCCGTTCCCCCCGTCCACGTGCTCAGGATTTTCCACAAGCCCCGAGCCAGGTCATGCGTTGTGGTGGCTAGGAGATGTTGACTACCTCGCCTGGTCTACAGGAGGTCGTGGGTTCGATCCCGACCCTGACGACGCCTGCAGCTGTATATTTGGAGTCTGCCTGTCTCTCTCTCATCATCATCATCATCACGGTGGCTATGAGATGTGAACTACCTCGCCTGGTATACAGGAGGTCGTGGGTTTGATCCCGACCCTGACGATGCCTGCTGCTGCTGTATATTTGGAGTCTGCGTCTCTCTCTCATCATCATCACGGTGGCTAGGAGATGTTGACTACCTCGCCTGGTATACAGGAGGTCGTGGGTTCGATCCCGACCCTGACGATGCCTGCTGCTGCTGCTGTATATTTGGAGTTTGTGTGTCTCTCTCATCATCATCACGGTGGCTAGGAGATGTTAACTACCCCGCCTGGTATACAGGAGGTCATGGGTTTGATCCCGACCCAGTGGGGCCTTACCTGCTAAAATAAACATTGTTTCGTCTTAATTTAACAACCCTTTTCAGTACGGTTGGCTACGTACGGTGCGAAAGAAGTTGTGCATAACAGGCGGATGAACACACGGACAGACAGACATACCAGACCAGAGCTAATCCACAAACACTTTTCAAACTACTCCATTGAGCAGCAGTAGCAGCAGCAGCAGCGTTTAGTTGTAGTTGCAGGCCCTGCCTAACTGGTGCCGGGACTGTGTGTGAGCAGTGTGTGTGTGTGTGGGGTGTGTGTGTGTGGTGTGTGTGTGTGTGGTGTGTGTGTGTGGTGTGTGTGTGGTGTGTGTGTGGTGTGTGTGTGGTGTGTGTGTGGTGTGTGTGTGGTGTGTGTGGTGTGTGTGCAGTGTGTGTGTGTGTGGTGTGTGTGTGTGATGTGTGTGTGTGCGGTCTGTGCAGTGTATGTGGTGTGTGGTGTGGTGCGTGTGTGCGGTGTGTGTGTGTGTGCGGTGTGTGCGTGTGCGGTGTGTGCGTGCCATCTGTACGGTGTGTGTGGGGGTGTGAAGTGTGTGTGGGGTGTGTGCAGTGTGTGTGCGGTGTGTGTGTGAGCGGTGCGTGTGTGCAGTGTGTGTGTCTGTGCGGTGTGTGGGTGTGTGCAGTGTGCGGTGTGTGTGTGCGGTGTGTGTGCAGTGTGTGTGCGGTGTGTGTGTGTGGTGTGTGCGTGCATTGTGTGTGCGGTGCATGTGTGCTGTGTGTGTATGCCATGTGTTTGGTGTATGTGTGTTGTGCGGTGCGTGTGGTGTGTGCGGTGCGTGCGGTGCATGTGGTGTGTCCGCGTGGCGTGTGCGGTGCGTGCGGTGTGTCCATGCGGTGCGTGTGGTGTGTCCGTGCGGTGTGTCCGTGCGGCGTGTGTGCCGTGTGTTCGGTGTATGTGTATTGTGTGGTGTGTGCGGTGTGTGTGGTGTGTCCCTGCGGTGCGTGTTTGCGGTATGTGCGTGTCTGCAGTGTGTGCGTGCGGTGTGTCCGTGCGGTGCGTGCGTTGCGTGCGTTGCGTGCGGTGTGTGTGTGTGCGTTGCGTGCGTTGCGTGCGTTGCGTGCGTTGCGTAGCGGCGGGGTCACCCACAGGAGCGCATGAGCTGGTAGACGGGGTGCGGGCACCCCTTGGGGCGGTCCATGCGGTATCCCTTCTCCAGGCGCTCGTAGACCTGCGAGAGGTCGATGCCCGGGTAGGGCGAGAGGCCGTACGTGGCGATCTCCCACAGCAGCACGCCGAACGCTGCGCTCGGGACACGCACACAACGCGGGGCGGGGTTAGCGCGGTTGAGGTACGCCTGGGTGATCATCGCGGTTGTGTTAAGTACGCCGGGGCGATTATGAGAGGGGGGTGAGTGTGAGTGAGAGCGGGGGGGTGAGTGAGAGAGGAGGATGAGTGTGAGTGAGAGAGTTGGGTGAGTGTGAGCGAGTGAGTGTGAGTAAATGTGAGCAAGAGCGAGCGAGCAAGGGGGTGTGAGAGTGAGCGTGAGTGCGAGTGTGAGTGCGAGCGAGCGAGTGTGAGAGTGAGCGAGCGAGTGTGAGAGTGAGCGAGTGTGAGTGCGAGCGAGCGTGAGTGAGAGCGAGCGTGAGTGAGAGCGTGAGAGTGAGCGAGCGTGAGAGAGAGCGAGCGAGCGAGCGAGCGTGAGTGCGAGCGAGCGTGAGTGCGAGCGTGAGAGCGAGCGAGCGTGAGTGCGAGCGTGAGTGCGAGCGTGAGTGCGAGCGAGCGTGAGTGAGAGCGTGAGAAAGAGCGAGCGTGAGAGCGAGCGAGCGTGAGTGAGAGCGTGAGAGCGAGCGAGCGTGAGTGCGAGCGTGAGAGCGAGCGAGCGTGAGTGCGAGCGTGAGTGCGAGCGAGCGTGAGTGCGAGCGTGAGAGCGAGCGAGCGTGAGTGAGAGCGTGAGTGCGAGCGTGAGTGCGAGCGTGAGTGCGAGCGAGCGTGAGTGAGAGCGTGAGAGCGAGCGAGCGTGAGAGCGTGAGTGCGAGCGTGAGTGCGAGCGAGCGTGAGTGCGAGCGTGAGTGAGAGCGTGAGTGCGAGCGTGAGTGCGAGCGAGCGTGAGTGAGAGCGTGAGAAAGAGCGAGCGTGAGAGCGAGCGAGCGTGAGTGAGAGCGAGCGAGCGTGAGTGCGAGCGTGAGAGCGAGCGTGAGTGCGAGCGTGAGTGAGAGCGTGAGAGCGAGCGAGCGTGAGTGAGAGCGTGAGAGCGAGCGAGCGTGAGTGCGAGCGTGAGAGCGAGCGAGCGTGAGTGCGAGCGTGAGTGCGAGCGAGCGTGAGCGCGGCTTTCCGTCCCACCCTACACGTCGGACTTGATGGAGAACTTGTTGTAGGCCAGGCTCTCGGGCGCGTGAGTGAGAGCGAGCGTGAGAGCGAGCGTGAGTGCGAGCGAGTGTGAGAGCGAGTGCGAGCGAGTGTGAAAGCGTGAGTGAGTGAGAGCGAGCGTGAGAGCGAGCATGAGGCGTGAGTGCGAGTGAGCGTGAGAGTGAGTGAGAGTGAGAGAGCGTGAGTGTGAGTGAGAGCGAGCGAGCGTGAGAGCGAGCGTGAGAGCATGAGAGTGAGTGAGTGCGAGCGTGAGTGAGAGCGTGAGTGAGAGCGTGAGTGAGAGAAAGTGAGCGTGAGTGTGAGCGAGCGTGAGTGCGAGCGTGAGTGCGAGCGTGAGCGAGAGAGAGTGCGAACAAGCGAGCGTGAGAGTGAGAGCGAGCGCAGCTCTCCGTCCCACCCCACATGTCGGACTTGATGGAGAACTTGTTGTAGGCCAGGCTCTCGGGCGCGTGAGTGAGAGAGAGCGAGTGAGTGAGAGCGAGTGAGGGAGAGAGAGCGAGCGAGCGAGTGTGAGAGAGAGAGTGAGCGTGAGCGTGGCTTTCCGTCCCACCCCAGACGTCGGACTTGATGGAGAACTTGTTGTAGGCCAGGCTCTCGGGCGCGTGAGTGAGAGAGAGAGCGAGCGTGAGAGTTAGAGCGAGCGAGAGAGCGAGCGTGAGTGAGAGCGAACGAGTGTAAGTGCGAGCGAGCGAGCGAGAGAGCGAGCGAGTGTGAGAGCTCGCGAGCGAGTGTGAGAGAGAGAGTGAGTGTGAGCGCGGCTTTCCGTCCCACCCCAGACGTCGGACTTGATGGAGAACTTGTTGTAGGCCAGGCTCTCGGGCGCCGTCCACTTGATGGGGAACTTGGCTCCGGCGCGCGCCGTGTACGTGTCGCCCGTCATCAGCCGGCTCAGCCCAAAGTCGGCCACCTTCACCACGTGGTTCTCGCTCACCAGGCAGTTCCGCGCCGCCAGGTCCCTGGAGCGCGACAGCGGTCAGTCCAGCCGCGACAAGGGGCGACGGCGGTGGTGGTAGCAGTTGTGGTGGTAGTGGTGGTGGTGGTGGTAGTGGTGGTAGTGGTGGTGGCGGTGGTGGTAGTGGTGGTAGTGGTGGTGGCGGTGGTAGTGGTGGTGGTGGTGGTAGTGGTGGTGGTGGTGGTAGTGGTGGTGGTGGCGGTGGTAGTGGCGGTGGTGGTGGCGGTAGTGGTGGTGGTGGTAGTGGTGGTGGTGGTGGTGGCGGTGGTAGTGGCGGTGGTGGTGGCAGTGGTCATGATCGTGGGAATGGTGGTGATTGTGGTGGCGGTGGTGGAGGCGGTGGTGGTAGCGGTGGTGGTGGTGGCGGGTGGTGACGGTTACGGGCGGCGGTGGAGGTGGTGGTGGTGGTGGTGGTAGTGGTGGCGGTGGTCATGATCGTGGGAGTGGTGGCGATTGCGGTGATTGTGGTGGCGGTGGTGGCAGCGGCGGCGGTGTTGGTGGTGGTGGTGATGGCGGTGGTGGTGGTAGTAGTGGTGGTCATGATCATGGGAATGGTGGTGATTGTGGTGACGGTGGTGGTGATGGTGGTGGCGGTGATGACCAGGAGATGAACTCGCGAACGTCCCCGTTGCCGCGCAACCGGATTGGTCGGTTTATGGACCAATCCCAACACAGCCAACCCCGCCGTCAGTCGGTGGTAGTCAGGGGGGGGGGCGGTAGTCAGGGGGGGGGGCGGTAGTCAGGGGGGGGGGCGGTAGTCAGGG